CCAAACTCAATACATGCATAAACAATGCTATGCCTCACCTGGCTTTGATGCTCGACGTCTCGAACCTCAGGAAATCCTTTGTTTCCATACAAGCCGTTAAATCGTGCCATCCTGCCAGAACATGAACGTGGTTTTGTTTCCCGTCACCTAGGCTGGGCAGCATCAGCAATCACGTCACAGACATGTCCGTATAGTCAGTCTTGGCTGCAACATGCGGCAGACTGGGGAACTTGTGAATGAGTGCTTGCCTCTGTTCAGAGCTGCGCGCATGGCAGCTGCTACAATCTGGGATACAGTGTCGTCAGCATCTCATCAATCAAGTTAATCAGGTTGAGCTCCTCGAACGTCAAGCCTAGCCTCCCTTCTTCTCTCTCCATATCGACTTGATTTTGTCTCGAGTTTCAACTGGTGCTAAATTCAGGAGCATCTCCGCCGGACTGTTGCCATCTTCATTTTCTTGCTTCATGAGCTTCTCAGCTTCATCCCTGTCAAATAGTACTTCGCAAATTGCCGTATGATGGCCGTTGATAGCTATGTGAAAGGCGTTGTCTCCCGCACGGTCTTTGCATCTTATGTCTGCCTGGGCCTCCAGTAGAAGGATCAAGGCCTGAGCCTGATCAGCACCAGCTGCTCTTAACAGCGGCACTCCGCCACTTCTGTCCTTGCAGTTCACCTTGGCGCCTGCATCAATCAGCGTGCGGAGGACATCATTGTGGCCTTTAGAAGCTGCGAAGTGCAAAGCTGTGGCACCAGAAGTCGTCACTGCATCGCAATCCGCCCTTGCTTCCTTAGCTAGCAGATGAAACAAGCACTATCTGAGCTCCTGATTGACGAGTCCACCTAGAATGACAGAGATGATTTTCTGGCGTGATTTGGGGTCCAAAAAATGTGAAGGCAGAGCCCATTTTGTAGCCAAAGACCCTAAAAATTGAAAAAGACATCCCAATCCAAAATGACAGGAACGTAGCTCAACTTTAAAGGATTAAGTAAGGTATAGTTTGACAGCTTAAGACCCTAAAACCCCTTCTGTCATATGCCAAAGACTGCGATGCTGTCATTTCTTTCTTATATTGAAGGTGTCTTGCTTACGTAGGAGAAGGGATTACCCTTGTGGCAATGCTAGCATGTGCTTTGACAAGCTTCCACAAGCAAGTGGCAAAGCTGCGCCGAGCCACGGCTGGCAGCTGAGTGCAAAGGCGTCCAATCCTCAGGGCCACGGGGTTTCACTGACCGTGTTTGCGGCTGCATGCGGCTGCATGTGTCCTCCTCATCCTCGACATTTGGATTTGCACATTTGCTGAGCAAATATGCTGTGATTTGCTCGTGGCCACCAGCGCATGCTCTGTGCAACGCAGTCCTGCGCGGCTTTTTGCTTGCCACCCGAACATTATGACTCCTTGCTGTTAAACTGAAACAGTCCGTCCTCCTGTCAGCGTCTCTGAGTTTCAGGCGCTTACCGACACTGTCGCTGTTCTCGAGAAGGATCTTCAGAGCTTCGAAATCACCACTCCCAGCGTGAGCGAGAAGTGGATCAACATCCGCCATGTGCTTCTAGGTCAAGTTATCACTGCTTCTGTTGGTTACCATGTCACACTCGTGCATGAAAAGCCCAGTTTGATGTCCCTCATGTTCCTGAGATGGATCTTTAATTTCTCGCTCCCAGTTGATGTAAGGCTGCTACTGCGGCGGTCACAAAAACATCAGATACCAGGTCGAATTGGACACATACCTTCCAGCTGCGAACAAGAGAGATGCGATAGCACCTTTGTCTGTATGCGGCAAGTGGGCAGCTTGCGGAAAGCATTCATCAATGCTGCTTGCAAGTCGTTGGATGCTCATGTGCGCAAGGTAAACCTGCATGATCTACGCATGCTTGTGTTCATGTGAGATTTAGATACAGCCGGCAGGTGCTATTGAAGTTATCTACCGCCATCTCATCCTCCATGGAGGGCCTGCAGGGACCAATACCACTTCTTGGCGAACAATTTGTTATCTACTTGCTGATTCAGCCTGGTACACAAAGTCCACCGTGCCGGACTGCATCGGCTTCTGGTAGCCTGAACCAAGCCAACATGTCAAAAGGCATACTCGTCTACAGCAATTTGGCCGCCAACCATGGCTTGGGAACTCGTTGGGGTCAATCCTCAGAAAACACTGTATCCATAGTGCTAGGCTTGCACGCCAATGCTCTTGACAGTCCTGATGGAAGGCGAGTCATCGCCTTTGATCCACATCTTAGAGAAATACTCCTTTTTCAAAGAGCTTTTGAAGGACACAATGTCAAGTCCAGGCAAGTCAGTTATCATCAACTAGCTGAAGCATGATTCCTGTCCTCACGCTTCTTAGCACCTTCAGGGGCATTGTCAGCGAGCTGTTGAATGAGGCTCCTCAAGTTCTCCAAGCACCTTATGCCAAAAATGTGCCATGACCAGGTACCACATGCGATTTCATGGTGGTTAGGCCGCGGCTTCTCCTTCCCTTGTGACACTTTTGCAAATGGCGCCCCAATCTGGCCAGGCAGTCAGCTTTGGGTCCAAAGCGGAAAGCATCTTCTAAGGCCGAAGCATACATGATTTCTGTGTTTCGTAATTCAACGGTGCCTTCACACGATGCATACAGTGGAGATCCAATGAGTCTTGTGTCCTGCCGGTACATTGCCTCCAGAAGCCCAGGACTCGATGGCTGCTTTGACGTCCGTGACCTCGACTTCCATACAAGGAATCCCTTATATGGTTCGTGAATCCGCGCGTCCGACGACAGTTCCAGACTTTGGGGAGGGCATCAAACGCCTCGCATGCAGTTTGATCTCCAGACTCTAGACGAAGCCTCCTGAAAAGGTGATGATTCAGCTTGCTAGCGCCCACATGTTGGCTTCCCCGGCAAGCACAAGGCATGAACCGAAGCTATTAGCAACCTCTGCTCCAAGAAGTCTACCTAGGCTCCGCTTGCCTGGGACCAAGAATTTTTCCAAGCTTTGCCAGCGCTGGCATCATGGCGGGCTTTGCAATAAGCACCTCAGTCAAACTCAGAAGTGTGTTGCTACTTTACTTCCAGACTCGCAAAGATTTGCAAAGTCTGGCTCATACTAGGAGGCACATCGAAATTGAACACCTCATTGGTCAGGTCGTCTTGGAGGGTCTGGCACGTTGACTCATTCACAACAAGCCTCACAACCCTTCACAACAGTCCATGTGCTGACTAAGTCTAAGGAGGACCAACTTGCCTTGCCAGCGATCGTAGCGCCCATCTCCAATGCCTGTCCATGCATTTCCCTCTGGACTGGCAACTGACATGGGCCAGGGTTGCTGAACCTGCAACTTCGTTGAACATGATGAAATGCAAGCTGGATCCCGCAACCTGCCTCAGGCTCCTCTGCAGGTGGGCAGAAAACGGCAACCCTCTTTGACTTCCCCGAGCCATTTGGAAGCTTGATCTTCATCCTGTCAGAAGACTGCATTAGCATCCATCATATTATTGCAGGATCAACATCGAGGTCAATGTGTCTCGGTCCATTTCGTGCGCGCCCTCTTGAAATGAAACTCGTGTACCATGGCCAATGCGGATGTGTGCTGCTCGCCACATGCGCGGGACTATCACGGACTCAAAGTCTTGGAGTGTGGCCGAATCTGTTGATCAGGATATTTGGCATCCAGGGCCATGTACATGGAAATCCTGAGGCATGATGCGCATGGCAATCGCCGAACGCATGTTTGATGACATCTCAGAACTGTCTAGCCGCTAGCCCTGAGTGGACGACTCCAGTGATGAATCATGCGCATCATTGGGTGCTGACTCATAGAAGCTGAAAATAATGTCAATGGCCTTCAAAGCACAGGAGTGTCACGCCTCCAGCTCTCTGAGGCCTTTACAGAATCCACATGCGCACACTTGCCTTTGCCAAGGAATAAAACCTCGATCAATGCACCCGAGGCGGGCAGGGCACGTGAACCCCGTTGACTGCAATTGCTGCAAGTGGCTTGAATCTATCGTACTTCGGTGCAGTGCCATCCTCGTTGAAGTACATCTTCCAATACCTTGGACCTTCGCTGCTGTAGTTACCAACTCCAAACTAAAATCGGATGCTGTTCAGGTTGAGGCTGCGATTGCGCAAACCTGAGGGCATCTTCCTGAGGCAAAGCACGGGGCATGATTGCCATGTGCTCTAAGTGCTTTGTGAACCAATCTGCACAGGATTTTGAGGTCGACACTTCCAAAACTCGTAATTCATGAACTTTGGAAGAGACTCCGTTGGCGGCCTTCCCTCTTGAAAGCCGTCATCTGGCTCAAAGTTTATCAAAGAGACTTCCAGACCCAGAATCACAGTGTGATGTCAACGGCAAGCAAGCCTGCTTCTTCTTCTTCTCCTTCCTCCATGTCATCATACTCTTTCAATTTCTCTTCTGAGCAGGCACGAAATATGATGGAAAATCAAAACTTCGTCAGGTGTGCTACAACAAAATTGCCTCTCCAGCCGGGCAACCAGCCTGATGTTTTTAAGCAATCTGCAAGCGTGAAGCGTTACTACCATTTTGCACAATGCTCAGGGCAGGACGTGGAGCCTTCGTAAGATCCCTACCATACCAGAACTGATTCCTTTCAGGGCAAGGCTTCTCCTTTTTTCGAAGAACCCAGCTTTCCAACAAGAGTTCATGCATGTTCCCCAACGTATCGCCATCATCCACAGTGTAGCTCCTTCGAGCATGGAGAACTGTAGCGGTCCTGGAAAAATGCTGTTCAATGCCAATCTTTACCTTAAACTGATGCAACCCGTCATGCCATGCACCCAGTGTCACACAACATGACAACACCAGCTTGGAAAACGGCCTGGCCTCGAAAGATGTTTCCTGCCAGTCCGGAGCGCCTCGCACGTTGCAAAGGCTCTGAAGCAGACATGGCTTCGAGGCTGATTGCTCTTTGAAAAAGGCACAGACTCTCACGGTGCGGAAGCGCGAGGGCGAGAAACGCCTGCATAAGGCTGCGTGAACACAACAAACTTCTATGCAACCGTGCGGCATGACAAACTGATTCAAGCAAAAAATACTCGCACAAGCTCCAAAGAGATGCACTAGAAACGCATTAAGCCCACAATTTTGCGCAACCCGTGTCTGCGTGTATACCAGTTATTTGTTCACCTGCACTCGAGCAAAACAACCTCTTCGCCTCAAGAAACGCATTCCATGACACACCACTCTCTTTACACCAGTAAAAGCCTAACAAGAAGAGCAGCTCCCACAAAGGCAGCCACCTGGGCCAAGCAGCTAGGCTAGCATCCGCACGCAAGAGAATGTGGCCACATCTGAGCAGCCGGCCATGCACACACATGCGTTGGAAGGCGCAAGCGTGTGCTCCTCAGGTTGTTTGTTCGGATGAAAGCATAATCATCCACAATGGGAGTTCTAATTGCGACGGCCTGGGCTGAGAACTTCGCAACACTGCGGTTGGTGACCAAGCTGCCTGGTGTGACCGCATGGCAACATCGCAAATAAACAACGCCAAACTTCCTGCCTAAATCATTGACATGCGTCTCTTGCCTCTGACGATGTGACGAAACAGCCCATGCTCTGCCCACAAACGCAACACGAGGTCCGGGCAATGCTCCCACCAATAGCCGTCCTGTCCCCAACGATAAGTACGCTTTGGACATGTAACTTGTCCGACATGCTGTCCTTGAGTTGCAAAGGCCGCCATGGAGCTCGCCTATGCTTGTGGCAGCACGAGTAAACATTGTTCGCATCACGGAACCAAAAAGCAGAATCTCGCCTCTTGCCTTGCAAGAGGCGAACGTCCACGTTCCCTTGAACAGGAAACTTCGCAGGAGTCAAACCACTACTGCAAACCTGCCATCTCAACCGTGCAGGGTGTGATATTAAAACCTGTTTGCGTTGTCCGAACTTTGGACTTCAACACACCCGCACCTCAACGTCATCAAAAACGAACATACACGTTGTGGTTTCTGCAGCTTTCACAATTGCAAGCCAAACACACGCTGCACGCTCAAAATGTTCGGATGGGATTTTGCCGCTCACTGGTCTTCGTCGGATTTCCCAAGCTTCTTAACAAAAACCTGAACCCAATTTGTGAACCAGGCACAGTGCGTGGCCAAACCAAGGCAAAATCCAAACAACTGAATGGAACACAACAGCTGGTCCGACATGGTCCGGCCATAAAAATACGAGGGGCAAGCACGCGCCACAAAATTATGGCCTCCCAATCGTATTCTCTAACTCTATGCGTGTGCCAACTCCCCCCCCGGGGGCATACATGACTTCCCGTGCTCATATAACATCACGAGGACAGAAGTCGCATCACACACACAGCCAAGGCGAAATTCATTTTTGTTTTCCGCTGGTTGTCTCGTGACGCTCACGAGAAAACATTCACGTCCTCTGATATGTTGGACATCCCAATTTCAAAAATGATCCTTCACAATTCACAGCTATGACATTGCAAAATGTATGATGGGAACAACCCTAATAAGCCGCCACGAGCCCACATTGTTAAACCTTGTGGCTTGCGAGTTGGCCAAACTTGGGTTTAAGGCGAAATCCAAAAATGTCGAAGGCAAGGCTGTGATTACAGAACTGAAATTGTGTGGCATGAGGTGAAGACACTTGTGCAGAAACGGAAGCACACAAAACATGGGTGCTTGGGGCGGAATTGGGTTATGTGACCAAAATTGAAAACTGACAGGGGATGGTGGCCAACAGCGACGTCCATGCGCGGAGGCCTTGGGGTGTCTTGATGCCCTTGAATTCAAATAATTGACATATTGCAGAAACCTTGCCAGCAAAAGCAAAGCTGATGCAGAAGATTATGTTGTTTTGACACAACAGCGTCGGACAGTTCACTCTTTTTGGCACAGGGCGCTCGGAATATGCTATGCTGTGCAGTGGAAGTAATCATACCCCTGCAGTGAGACGTATGTGAACCAAGTGATTGAAACATAGTGCTGTGCGAGCTGTGCGAAGCAATGCGTGCTTAAACGTAGTGCAATGAAGAATTGCATAGCGTGTTGCGTTAAGCCCAGGGTGCGGTGGGCGGGTGAAAAATTTCTAAGCATGCGGCTGAGCCAAGCTACGGAAATACAATGCACTTTACCAAGGGTAAATACAACTAAAACATGCATGACAAAATACAAACATGCAACGTTCAAGTATGATATTTCCTACGCTTGGCTCAAAGACACAACAGCGTTGGACAGTTCACTCTTTTTGGCACAGGGGCGTTCGGAATATGCTATGCTGTGCAGTGGAAGTAATCATACCCCTACTTTAGGTTCGAGCGCCTCTGTGACAAAGTCGTACCCTCCGCGCGTCAGAGGAGGTCGTACCTGCGGCTGGAGGAGCTGCAACCAAAAACAGGCAAACGGAAGTGCTAAGCAGGCAGTTGGTGCACAAGCCCTTTTTTCGGATGTAGAGACAGTTCAGCCTGTGTGTTGCGCATCTAAAAGTGGCTGTGCCCATGCGGCGGATTCCAATCCATATGATGACCAGTGGCGCAGAGCCAAAGCCTCTAAGACAATATTGCACGCCTTCGCAGAGCACTGAACATAAGCAAGGCTGCCAAAGATAGCCTTAGCGCTGCACCTTCCAGCGTGCAGCTCCGCCCTCCACTAAAATGTTTGGGCAGAGCACGCACCGCACGCCTGGATAGCGACGCTTTGCATGCCAAGCAAGCGGACCTCGTGCACCTCTGGTTCGCACCGCGCGGCGCCGTAAAAGGATTCCCATGGCAAATTCGCATGTCTCTAATACCAGAACCAGCATTTTATGGAGGCCCGCCCGTGACTTTGCGCACTGTCGCACAACTTGTGAGCTGCGTCCTCTAGTAAAACCCAGAGCTACGCATCGAACGGGATCTATCTTAGCCAAGCGCACCCAGTAAGTGTTTCGCAATGCCATCGCACTCTCTCATGGCGGCGATGCAACCGGTAACGTCAGGGCCTTTTGTCACGGCCACACACTCGTGCGCGGCACGCGCAAGCCAGGCTCCCGGCAAGGTGTGGCTTTTTCGCCACGTCGGCGATCCGTAGTACGGCCACAGTTGCAGCGGGGGTAACGTGCCCGGAACTGTCTCTGCACAAGGGAAGCGGCAGAGTAAGCTTGCGGGACGTCTGAAAATTGAAAGTTGAACTGTGACGCTGCTCAGGTAAAGACGGCCAAACCGGCTCTAAGCTGGCCGCGGGCGCGGACCGCGGAGCTGGAGCCCGGATCCGGGCGGGTCCGGCGCAAGAAAGAGCTACGCGCCAGGGGGCTGTGTCCGTGCGGTTACAGAGGCCAGAGCACGAGCGTTGAGAAGCTGTGGCCTCCGTTGCGGATCTGAGTTGACCTTTTTGCATTCTTGTTGCAGGAGCCTGGGATTGAGAGCGCCCCGCACGGCGGTCTGTCTGCGTCCAAAAGCCGTCCACAACGCTATGCGAGCAGGACGATTGCAAAGAAGCTTGAGAGGAAAAATGGCTGTGGATGCATGGCTGGCCAGTCTGCAATTAAGACCGCAAAGCAGACAAGAAGCGAGGCACTGCTCGAAGGCTCTGCGACCTGGACTGTACAAAACGAAGACGACGTGTTGCGCGACAAACAAATCTGATCGAGGCATGCTTTGCGCCTGTCAAAAGAAAACGGGCTTCTAGCACACTGCCACAAAGAAGGTGGAGCCGAGCCACAGGCGGGGCGGAGCTTTTGCATGGAGCCAATAACTCCAACCTCCAGCAACGCTAGCGTGGGCTTGCAATGATTCTGCAGTGGGCATGTGCACTCTGCCATACATAAGTGCGAGTGTTATGGTCGATGCGCAGTGCGCTTTCGAATAAGCTATGCAAGCAAGCGTATTCTTCAACGTCTGCGTGCTGCTGCAGGTTGCCCCGATGCGGCACGCTTGTAGCTCTGGAGCGCTTCTCGTAGATAAGTGCGTCCTGAACCTATGGACCCCTATCTCGTAGGATCAGACCCGCTTGCAGCCGTGTTCTCAAGTCTTCTTGCAGTCGCTCCAGTCCTTCCTGCACGTTGCTGTGATGGATGCCATTTTCGCAAGCTTGTTGAAAGGGGCCTCCGTAAGAGCAACCAAGTCGCAGCCGCGGAAGTCTCAGAGACGTAGCAAGATCCGGATCTACTCCGGCTTGGCCGCGCCCAGCGGCCCAGCGGCCCGCGGCAAATGAATTCGGGAACTACTGCCAGGTCCCCTGGCTGATCATGAAATTTATTTCATGACCACGAATCCACGAAATTATCATGAAATCATGAAACTGTCTGGAAAATCATTGAAAATGAGAAATCCAAATCTTGAGCCCGAAAAGCCTAAGAGTTCTGGGTTG